TTTTTTTTTTTTTGAGACGGAGTTTCGCTCTTGTTACCCAGGCTGGAGTGCAATGGCGCGATCTCGGCTCACCGCAACCTCCGCCTCCTGGGTTCAGGCAATTCTCCTGCCTCAGCCTCCTGAGTAGCTGGGATTACAGGCACACGCCACCATGCCCAGCTAATTTTTTGTATTTTTAGTAGAGACGGGGTTTCACCATGTTGACTAGGATGGTCTCGATCTCTCGACCTCGTGATCCACCCGCCTCGGCCTCCCAAAGTGCTGGGATTACAGGCTTGAGCCACCGTGCCCGGCCCATTCCATGTGTTATCTTTTAATCCTGATAACCTCAAGAAGTTGATGGCCTTCATCTATCTGGGAGAAAAGGAGACTCAGAAGGGTCAACGAGCTTGTTCCAGTTCTCTAGCTAGTAACTGCAGGCCTGGAATTTAGAATCAGGGATCTTTCTAAAGACATCGCATCCGAAGATGTCAGAGGCATTCTAACCAGAGTGACTCTATCTTGCATGGAGCCTGGGTAAAATGAAGCTGAGACCTGGCTAAGATGTGAAATATTCTTAGTCACAAAATGTTTACAGTTCAGGGAACAGGTTAATAATGTTTACTAAACAGACATTTCTTTACTTCTCTAATAAACTTGCTTTCACTTTATTCTGTGGATTTGCCCCAAATTCCTTCTGGTGTGAAATGCACGAACTGTCTCTTGGGGTCTGGATTGGGACCCCTTTCTGGTAACAAAGACACCATGCACCAGGGGCATAAAAAGAAGGGATGTCTAAGACTTGCTGGTTCTATGGCAGGCAGAGGCAGAAAGAGCCCCATCATCATTACCAGCAAATGGGAAAAGTTCCCAGTTGCAGATATTACGGGTGGGATGGGGCAGGGGCAGTCAGCATTTATAGACTTAGACCCTGAAGAGGCAAAAAAGGAGGGCCATGTTCTTGGATCAGCAGAGCTTCTAGCTCTTTCCTGGTGCCAGTAGCTTATTCTCTAGTGGAGGCATCCAGACGGCAGGGAGGATCCAGGAAACAGCTAAAGATGCTGAGCAGGCCTCCCTTGTTCCCCCTCCCCATGGCCCCATGGATCATCCGGTGCTGCAGCTCATCTCATTGGCTGGCTTCTGGTTACTCATCTCTCCTCTTCTCCATTTTCCCAGCCTGTGGTTGCCATGGAAACACAGAACGGTGATCTCACCATAGGATGAGGGCTGGGAAGATGCTGTTCTTGGCAGGCACTGGTCTTGCTGCCTGCCAGATGTTATATCCACATCTGGATCTGCCAAGGGCAAGACAGGGGAGCACAAAAAGTGACAGGGCTCACGTTCTCCTCCAAATGTCGTGAGCGTAACAGAGCTGGAGGATGCAGGTACTCAGAGGGACGAGGAGAGAGCTGTACATACTTAGAAGAAGGAAGGATATAAACCAGGAGGAAAGGAGATGGGGTGCAGCTTATAGGTTAACCTCAGTGACCCAGGTCTGTGCATGGTGGCGAGGTGGGGGAAGAGCAGTGAGGGTAGTTGGTCTGAGGTTTGTCTAGTAGAGCTTCTCAAAGCCCCATGCTGCTCAACTCGGACAGGCCCCAAGAGAGGGAGCAAATGGATTTTCGGGCAGTGCCCCCCCACAACCCATCCTAAAAGCCTCCATGGACCTCTTTTCACAGTTGCAGCAGTTCCTAATCCTGTCCCAGAAATAAGAAAACTAAGGATTAAAGAAGCAAAGCAATTTGCCTTGGGTAACTAACTCAGCAGGCAAGCTGCAGAACTCAGACTAGGTCTTAGGTGTCTGCACTACCCCTGGAGATAATAACAATAGCAGCAGGAGAAGCAGCAGCAGTGAACATTTACTAAGTCAACCACATTCAGCATTTAAATGTGTTATCTCAGGCTAGGCGTTGTGGCTCATATCTGTTGTAGTCTCGGCACTTTGAAAGGCCAAGGCAAGAAGACTGCTTTAGGCCAGTAATCCAAGACCAGTATGGGCAACAAGGCAAAACACTGTCTCTACCAAAAACAAACAAAAAGCACATAAAAAATTAGCTGGGCATGGTGTCATGCACCTGTAATCCTAACTACTCGGGAGGCTGAGGTGGGAGGATACCTTGAGTCTGAAAGGTCAAGCCTGCAGTGAGCTGAGATCATGCTACTCTACAGCCTGAGTGACAGAGTGAGACTCTCTTAAAATAAAGAAGTAGGCTGGGTGTGGTGGCTCATACCTGTAATCCCAGCACTTTGGGAGGCAAAGGCAGGCGGATCACTTGAGGTCAGGAGTTCAAGACCAGCCTGGCCAACATGGTGAAACCCCGTCTCTACTAAAAATACAAAAATTAGGCAGGTGTGGTGGCCTATGCCTGTAATCCCAGCTACTCGAGAGGCTGAGGCAGAAGAATCACTTGAACAGGGAGGTGGAAGTTGCAGTGAGCAAAGATGGTGCCACTGTGCTCCAGCCTGGGTGACAGAACGAGACTCCTTCTCAAAAAAAAAAAAAAAAAAAAAACACTCAGAGTGCCTTAAGTGAATTGCCCAAGGCCACACAGCTAGTACCCAACGAAATTCAAATCAGAGCTGGGCGTGGTGGTTCACACCTATAATTCCAGCACTTTAGGAGGCCTAAGCGGGCAGATCACGAGGTCAAGAGATCTAGAACATCCTGGCCAACATGGTGAAACCCCATATCTACTAAAAAATACAAAAATTAGCTAGGGATGGTGGTACATGCCTGTAATCCCAGCTACTCGCGAGGCTGAGGCAGGAGAATCACTTGAACCCAGGAGGTGGAGGTTGCAGTGAGCCGAGACTGCGCCACTGCACTCCAGCCTGGTGGTGACAGAGCAAGACTGCATCTCAAAAAAAAAAAAAAAAAAAAAAAAAAAAAAGGCTGGGTGTGTGTGGTGGCTCACACCTGTAATCCCAGCTCTTTGGGAGGTCAAGGCAGGAGGATTACCTGAGGTCAGGAGTTCAAGACTAGCCTGACCAAAATGGTGAAACCCTGTCTCTAAAAAAAAAAAAAAAAAGAAAGAAAGAAAGAAAAGAAATTCAGATCAGAACAAAGATCTGCCAGTAGCCATTAGCCCAGCCCCAGCTTTCCATCACTGCATTATAAGGGCCACCACATAAGGAGACAGTTCTAGTCCCTGGCCATGCAGTCCTTGAGAGAGGAGGACCTGTGACTGAAGGCTACGACCTTGAGTCAGAAATCATCTTTTTCCCCTCCTCCTCTCCTGGCACCTGCTCTAACAGTGAGATCACCAAGGCTCCATGCCCAGCCCTGAGGCCTGTCCCTGTAGCTTTGGCAAAAATGACCCTCCAAGTTTTCTGGCAATTGGACTGTCCAAAGGAATCAAGACCTTAGGGTGGGGAGAGGGCTCTTCCTTCCTGGCCTTGTTCCCAGAACAGTCCAGGGAAGGAAAGGGAGGCAGGGTTTGCACGTGGAGAAACAGAGTCCCAGGAAGGAGGACCTGCCACACTATATGCACGTGGCAGAGTTGGCAGGCCTTAGGGCTCCTGTGTTGGCTCCTGCAGGCCCACCCTGGGCAGGCTGTTGCTGAAGTTCACTTCCGCACTACTCCATGTGCTGGGCCTCCTGCCATCACTCGGAAACTGATTTATACCTCACTTCCTCTGAGAAGCCTACACTGAACCTCAGGTCAGGACAGGACCCCCGTTAAAGTCACCACATTAGTTTTGTGTTTGGCTGCCCAGAGGTGAGTGTGTGTTTCGTTCCCTGTTGTCTCTCTTCAAAGCAGGGCCTGGTACAAAATAGGTACTTTAATAACTGCGGAATTAATGAGTGAACTCCTCAGAGCTTCAGCTTGTTCATCTTTTTAAAACGAGAAGATAATACAGTAACACTTATTTCATGGATTTTGTTTTAAAAGTTCAGTGAGGACAAGCGTGGTGCTGTGTGCCTACAGTTTCAGCTTCTTGGGAAGCTAAGGTGGGAGGATCCCTTGAGCCCTGGAGTTTGAGGCCCAGTGAGCTATGATGGCATCACAGCACTCCAGCCTGGGAGACACATTGCGAGACCTTTTCTCTAAAAAATAATAATAAAATGAAAAGTCCAATGAAACAATACACCTAAAGCCCTCAGCATGCAATAAATATCAGTACAAGGTCTTGCTATTTCCACTCAAAGTGCTCAGTAAACTACACAGTGTCAAACCACTGCACAACAGGCTCTGAAGAGGAGGCAACAAAGTACTCAAAGTGCAGGCGGCTAGCTAGTGTGAACAGGTCAGAAAAAGGGCAGCACGTAGGGAAGGTAGCAGTGGGCCGTGAAGAGCTGACCGAATTGGCAGAATTTCTCAGGAGGGTGAGCTGGGAAGGAACTGAGCTATAGCTTGGAGCTGTGCGGAGAGACTGGAAAAGCCCGGAGCACTTGCAGGGGCGGGTGGGGAGCTGGATGGTGGGGTGGGGTGGGGTGAGGTGGAGTGAGGTGGGGTGGGGTGGAGTGAGGTGGGGTGGGGTGGGGTGAGGTGGGGCGGGAGGAGGGCCAGCAGGAGACATTCTGCAGGGAGGGGCAAGCACGTGTGAGCGGACAGGCGCGGACGCGAAAGGTCAGGCTTTCGCTCAAAACAGGCAGAAGACAAGGTCAGCTCAGCCGCAGACGGAGCCCCTGGTGATTGTCTCCGCCACCAGGCAGTGGGAGTGAAGGGACAGCGCGGGCTCGCTAGGCTAAGCTTGCAATCTGAAGATCCATTCACTCCCTATTTCTTGAGACCTTGTCAGTTCCCCTCTGAGCCGCGGGCTTCTCACTTGTAAAACGAGGACGGATGCCCGAGCCAGAAGTCAACCAGTTTTTCCTGGCGTGGGCACCAGCCCAAGGACGAGTTTTCCTTTTCTAGTCTCATCTCTGCTCTGACCCCAAGCTCAAAGAGGGACTGGGCTACGGAAGATATCCATGGCATGCGCCCTAGCTCTCCGGCCGGTAACCGCTGTTTCCTTCTCAGATTCCAGAGTGCCTAGAGGCCAGGAAAGGGAGACGGTCCTGCCAGCCTGGGGTAGAGACTCGGGGGCCAGGCACTGGCGCTGACGCAGGCGAGCAGGGCGCCACTGACTGGTCCCCTCCCACCTCGGCGGGTTGGGGGATGGCGGACCAGCCCCTCCTGGGTGAGCCCTAGCCTGGGGCTTCCTATTTCGGGAGCCGGGGGCGTGGGCCACATCTCATGTGATGCGAGGGCTATTTAAAGCGGCAGCCCGGGCAGGGAGCCGCCGTCCGAGTCTTTGCACGCCTGCTCTCTCACAGCTTGTGTCTCAGCCTAGCCCAGCATCACTATGGTGGACGCTTTCCTGGGCACCTGGAAGCTAGTGGACAGCAAGAATTTCGATGACTACATGAAGTCACTCGGTGAGCAAGCCGCGGGGCTCAGGATGCTGCCTTGGGGAGGGGCTGGTGGCGTGCCTAGCCCCACACAGGGCTCCTGCTGCATCCCTCTTGGTTAAGACTGGGGAATAGGGGAACGCGGAATGGCAGCCTGGGTGGAGCCTGTTCGGAAGGGGCTTTCATGGTCCAAATCTGGTTAGAGACCACGGTAGGGAGGTGGAGGAAGGAGGCAGCTGTGTGAGAGGCTCTTTCCAGGAAGAGGGATATATGATTTGGAGGTATAAGGAGGGTTTGGATAAAGAACACTGATCACAGGAAGGGGAGTCTAGCCAGGGAAGAGAAAGAACAGGGGCATGGGTAGTTTAGAAATTGGAGGAGACTGAACCCAGAAAGGGAATGGGGCAGCTAGGAGTGTACTATGACCTTAAACAAGTAGGAAATACCGAGGAGGAAAATTGGCGGGGAAAAAAACGTGGATCAGTGAATCAGATATGAGGAGATAAGACAGGGACCTGCAGTAAGCAGCAATTCCCATCTCTCTCTGTTGGATTAGGGAAGGGGATTGTTGCTGGAGAATGCTCTTTCTCACCAGCCAGTCTGACCTTGTCCTGCAGTGATATGTAACCAGGACTTAATCACCGTCTGTGAGCCTCGTGGTAGGGTGGGGCAAGCGGCCCATCATCAGCTGGGCCTTTCCTGCAACCCAAGGCTCACCCACCTGTGCGAAGGGTAGGCAGTGAAAGCCATCGGACTTCTGTTGTGCAGTAGAGGGTGTCAGAGCAAGGTCAAGACCTGGGAGGGAGGGTGACAGGTTTAGGAGGATGTGAATAACTGCTGTGGCTTTGAGATGGATAAGAATAAGGATTCAAAGAATCTTACAGGTGAGGAACTTGGAGATTCACATACCATCTGGTTCAACAGGGAAATTGAAACCAGGAGAGTAGAAATGTATTATAACTCCACAGCAGAGCTGATAATGAAAACCTAAGGTTTCTAGATCTGTTACCCAGAGCTCTTTCCACTACCCTACAGGCCCTGGGAGTGGGAAGCAAAGTAGGAACTGCTTAGCTAATGATTGACCTCAGCCCTTCTTCTACTGCTTTGGTCTTAGATGGAGAGGTCAAAGCTCTTAACGGCCCCTACCCTACCCTGGGCGCTATGCCCAGTAATTCCAGGTAGGCAGTCGTTCTTAGAGGAGCAGCCCTCCAACCCCCACTAACACACCCCAGCAGCTACTGGGAAGTTGGAATGCCCAGATTTAGTTCCTCTTTCCAAAGCTAGGCCAGAGCCGAGTCCCTGAACCGAGCTGAAACAACTTTACCACTGTTGTTCCCTTATTCTGCCCCAAGTGGGTGGGTGGGGGGCGATCTCCTTAAAGACCTGCTTATTTTTCGGCAGCCTGCTTTCTTTTCGTAGGAACGAGAAGCCTGGGAAAAGACTCTCCTCAGCTCTCAGTAAATAGCACTGGCTTCATTTCTGAGTAGAACCCAGATCTCCCTCAGTCTCCTAAATTCTGTCAGCTCAATATTCTTCGTTTCTCTTGGTTCAGACCCTCACTCATCCCACAGTGGTTTCCTTTTCAGACACTCTATAGCAAACAGATCTCCCAGTGCAGTGACAAGGTCCTGCTCTGTGAAGGGGAGTGTCATTGGCCTGACTCATCCTGACACCAAGGGGCAAGGCAAAGTTCCTCACTGGCCAAGCAAGGGTAGGCTGACAGCATAGTGGCAGAGGCAGCCCCTGCCCCTCCTGCTGTAGATCTAGGGCTCTCAAGGGGCAAAGAGGTCCCGTCTAGTACCAGTGACCACAGGCACAACTGGTGGCCTGGATTGAGTATGTGCTGGGCAGAATGGCCTAGTGGAAACAGTGAGCCATTTTGGAGCCTAGATTCAAATCTGTCAGTTCACTCCATTTGAATTTAGATGAGACACTTTACTCTCTTTATTTAGGAGTAAATAAATTGGGGATAATCTAGGCTTGAGGGCTGTTACAAGCATTAAGTACAACTACTCATGTAGGGCACGTGCAGAGTACCTAGCTCCAGTAAGCACTCTGTAGCCAGGCACATTTGGAGATTACACACACCACTTCACTACACTGGGCTGCCTCCTGCCTCACCTTTGCCTTGGAGGACAGCTCAGCATAAGCTGCTGGGGGGAGAAGGGGCAGTCGTGATTCTTTGTTCTTTACTTGCTTGCAGGACACTTAGGACTTTGCCCAGTACCCAAGGAAGCCATGCTTGGGTCAGGAAGATAGTCTCTGTAGAGCCTTTGACTGGGAGTCAGGAGACTTGGGTTTGAGTCTAACTCATTGTTTTTGAGATGGAGTTTCGCTCTTGTTGCCCAGGCTGGGGTGCAATGGCATGATCTCAGCTCACTGCAACCTCTGCCTCCCAGGTTCAAGCGATTCTCCTGCCTCAGCCTCCCAAGTAGTTGGGATTACAGGCATGCGCAACCACGCCTAACTAATTTTGTATTTTTAGTAGAGATGGGTTTCTCCATGTTGGTCAGGCCGGTCTCAAACTCCCAAACTCAGGCGATCCACCCACCTTGGCCTCCCAAAGTGTTGAGATTACAGGCGTGAGCCGCTGTGCCCAGCAGAGTCTAACTCATTGTTGCTACCGCTTTAGGCTCCTCCTCAATCTGTGCAAGAGGACAAATACTTCCTTTGTATCTAACTCCTGGATCATAGATAACAGGCTTTGAAAATGCTGGGTTGCCATATATAAGGGACAAGAGCACATTTAATGCTTCTTAGTTTCAGGGTAAAACTTCCAAAGGTGGAAAACTCTTTATTATTCCTAAGGCTTTGGGAGGCAAAGTCTACGTTTCTCAGCCTTATTATTTTATTTTTTTTTTAGAGATGGGTTTCACTATATTGGTCAGGCTGGTCTCGAACTCCTGACCTTGTGATCCACCCACCTCGGCCTCCCAAAGTGCTGGGATTACAGTTGTGAGCCACCATACCTGGCTCTCAGCCTTATTTCTAAGGCCTAGAGAGCTTTTCAGGTGCCCTGGAAAGCCTTATGCTCCAGCCTTGGGAGGCGGTATGGCTGAGCACTTAAGCAAGCTCTGGAGTCAGACGATTCTGGATTTCAATCTCAGATTTGTGACCTAGACTTTAACTCTTATGTTTTTGCATCCATAACGTGGAAAGTCTTCAGAGGAACAGGAAGAACTAAATGAGATAATATATACAGTTCTTACCACACAAAAAACTTACAGTACTTAATAGTAGCTTTTTTTTTTTTTTTTTTTTGAGATAGAATCTCACTCTGTCAGCCAGGTTGGAGTGCAGTGGCACAGTCTCAGCTCACTGCAACCTCCACCTCCTAGGTTCAAGCAATTCTCACGCCTCAGGCTCCCGCATAGCTGGGATTACAGGCACATACCACCACATCTGGCTTTTTGTATTTTTAGTAGAGATGGGTTTTCACCATGTTGGCCAAACTAGTCTCAAACTCCTGGCCTCATGTAATCCACCTGCCTTGGCCTCCCAAAGTGCTGGGATTACAGATGTGAGCTATCAAACTTGGCCTAATAGTAGCTTATTCTAATCCCAGCTCTGCCACTGACTTGCACTGCTGTTCCTTAACCATCTCATCTGTCGAATGGGATCAGTAACCTGTATTCACCAAACAGAACTAAGGGCAAGACTGAATTTTAAAATTCCCAATGCAAAGGCTTTGAAAGATACAGTCCTCCACTTCATCACACCCAGGCCTGAGAGTTATTCATTGAGTTTCTTGAACACCACCTTTCTACTCTAGCTCATATACTCATAACCTTCCCCCTACCCTCAGGTGTGGGTTTTGCTACCAGGCAGGTGGCCAGCATGACCAAGCCTACCACAATCATTGAAAAGAATGGTGACACTATCATCCTAAAAACACACAGCACCTTCAAGAACACAGAGATCAGCTTTAAGCTGGGGGTGGAATTTGATGAGACAACAGCAGATGACAGGAAGGTCAAGGTAAGTCAGGGAAATGGGTCGGGAATGGAGAGTGCTGAGACTCTACCTAGGCTGGTAGTCTTGGCTCCCTGGTATTGTTGCCTGAGGGGTGGACTATCACGGAAGATTTAAATGCAACACGATTCATAAAGCCTGGGTAGTGCTGGAATGCCACTGATGCCAAATAAATGTTAGTTCTGTCATCTTGTTTTCTTCCCTCCCTTCTTGGAATTCATCTACTGGCTGCCTCAGAATGGGCAGTGCAGAATCAGGATGTTCTTCTGACCTCAGTATCTACTCCAGCTCCAGCTGGGTGATCCTGTGTAAGGTATGCAGTAGTAGCTCTAGGTTTCTTTCCCCTTCCATAGATGGTGGAGTTATGTGCCCATGGCTGTGACCTGAAGTGCTTTAGCAATGATGCCCAAAAGTCAGGGCCCTCCACTGAGTGAGGCCATTGTGGCCTCCAGCAGCAAAAAAGGCAGCCAGGAACAAGCAGCACCTACTCAGATGCTGCTTCAACTTCTAAATCTCAGACATGACCAATGACCCTGAAAAATTCCCGATGTTGCCAGCTGACAGGCAGGAAGAGCTATGTGCTGGTACAGGGCATTTGTCTTGTCATAAATGAGTTTGCAGTGTCTTCCCACCAAGCTTCAGCCCCCTCTCCCAGGGTACTGTCACACTGCAGTGGCTGTCTTGACAGCTTGCCTCAGACCTTCCAGGCCCGGCATGGGTACAAGAGAGCTTGGAGGCTTTGACCTCTATAGGGTGTACCTACAGCAGTGTTCTATCATGACACTATCATTCAGCCCATCAGCTGTTTCCTCTTCCTCACAGCTGTCCCCAGAAAGGATAGGATCACACAGGTGCCTGGCAGCAGAGCTGGGGATGGTGCCCGAAGATGGCAGTCTACCTTGGATAAAGGTGGCTGCCCCTACTTCCTTGGGCTTGCCTACTTTCTCAAGGGGCAAGAACCCCAATTAAACACAATAGCCCTCTAGAATCCCTAGGGCAAAAATATCTACTCTGAGTAGGCAAAAAAAAAAAAAAAAAAAAAAAAAAAAAACTAGGGGAACGAGAACAAGCAGCTTACTTCTAAGAATAAAGACAGCACACTAAAAGACAGGCCCCATATTCCTTACCCCCCAAACAATACACAGAACCTTCTCAGATTCTCCTACTGAACCACCTTGCTCATCAAGATCCCTTAGTCTGGCCTTGTGGCCCCCAAACTCCTAGGAGACACCTGGAAGAGCTGCCAAATGAGAACCAGCTGATGTATGTGGGCAGCACCCAGAGCGGAGGAACGATCCAAGGGCATCCAGTCCCAGGACTGCGGTTGGTGTCCTCTTGCCCCTTTAAAGAGGTCACATGATGTGGCCCAGGAAGAGGTGTAGGAATACAGGGGAGGAAGTCTAATTATCCAATACTTCTTATCACAAAGGGTCTTTCAGACATTATGTGTACTAACCACAAGGCTGGAGATTCTCAAGACTACTCCACCTCCTCAGTCGGTCTTTCCCAGGGATAGACTAGTAAATCTCACCTGTATCTGAGGGGAACAGGCTGTTCAAATAAGTGCCTATCTTGAAGGGTTGTGATGCTTCTCAGAGCCAGGCTCTCTGGCTCCATCATACTGCCTCCCCCTCTCTCATCACCTAATACCTGAAGGCCTCTTCCCCAGCAAGGCAGTAGTGGTGAAGAAGCTGGAGGTGAACTAGATGTCCTGCAGGGCTGGCTGGGAAGTGGATTGCCTGAGCTCTTGTCCTCACACCATCACTAGTTTGGGTCAGAGGCTGTGTCCTCTGTGGCCCCAGTGTCCAGACCCCATCCTGCCCCTCAATCCTAAGATCACAGCTCAGGCCTCTACTCTCTTTCCACAGTCCATTGTGACACTGGATGGAGGCAAACTTGTTCACCTACAGAAGTGGGACGGGCAAGAGACGACACTTGTGCGGGAGCTAATTGATGGAAAACTCATCCTGGTAAGATGGGCAACTTTGGAGCCATATCTAATTGGTTTTTACTACTGCTCTTTCAGCCAAGCCTGTTCTAAAAAGCCAAGTCCTCCCCCGAGAGCCACAGAAGCTGGGACAAGAGTGGTTACAAGGTCAGGGTGGTATCAGGTGGGAATTTTCTGTGTGGCGGCTTTGGACTCACACAGGCTGGGGCTCACATCTTACCTTATAGGTTTCATGACTTCAAATCACCCTCTCCAAGTGCAACTGTAAAATGGGTATTAATAATACCAACCTTGGCCGGGTGCGGTGGCTCAAGCCTGTAATCCCAGCACTTTGGGAGGCCGAGGCGGGTGGATCACGAGGTCAAGAGATCGAGACCATCCTGGTCAACATGGTGAAACCCCGTCTCTACTAAAAATACAAAAAAAAAAAAAAATCAGCTGGGCATGGTGGCGCGTGCCTGTAATCCCAGCTACTCAGGAGGCTGAGGCAGGAGAATTGCCTGAACCCAGGAGGCGGAAGTTGCGGTGAGCCGAGATCGCGCCATTGCACTCCAGCCTGGGTAACAAGAGCGAAACTCTGTCTCAAAGAAAAAAAAAAAAAAGAATACCAACCTTGCTGGGAAGTCTGTAAGAGACAGTGTATGCACAGCACAAAGCATCACTGATACAGCATGTCCTTTGTTTGGTCTTCCTATATTTCCACCTTGCCTCACCCCAGGAAGAAGTAGAAAACAGGGCCAAATCTGAGCCCAGGCCCTCTAGGAGAGGCTCCCATTTCCTACCTCAGCATTCCCTTTTCTCTCCTCCCTACGACTGCACTGTCGCTTGCAGGAACAGGCTGGTGAATGGTGGGGACACTGAATGACAGCACAGTCCTTTCTTCCCCATTTTAGTCCTACCCCATTTTCAAGCTTTCTATGTCTGGCCTACTGCAACTACTTGACTACTGCCTGGGTAGTAGGAAGTACCACAGCCAGGCTAGCAGATACATTCAAGCTTGGAGACTTCACTTGGAGTCTTGACTGAATTCCCCCCAGACCCAGAGAGCAACCAACTGTGGATGCTGCCTAACTGCAGGGCCTCAGGTTTTCACCTGGGCATATTCACTGCACCTCTTCTTGGGTCAGCATAACGTGTTAACTGCATTCTTGTGCACTCATGGGGGACAGCGGTCCCCTTGAGGTTTGGAATGAGGTGCCTAGCTTTGGTGGGGATGTGGTACGCAGGACCAAATTCTCAGTGGACAACTGAACTACAGTGAGGCCATGGGTTTGGCTTTATGATGCCAGACTGGATGGTCGGAGGTATAGGGCTCTGGCCCTGGTACTACCCTAAGTTAGGGAAGAATTGGAGTTATTAGCTGAATACAGTCCTTTCCTGAGTCTCTGGATATTTTTCCTATTTGTCAACTATATGCCAGGCACCATCTTGGGCAAAGAATAAAGGAAGCAAAATGGTATAAGGGAAAAAGAAACACTCAAAGATCTTGACCAAATGTCTTCCTCTCTAAAGGCTAATTTTTCCAAATCTCTAAAATAAGAATTACAATGCCTATCTTAAAGATTTGCTGTACATATCGAAAATATGTATTTTTTATATATATAAATATACATATATATACACATATATATGTGTGTATGTATGTGTGTGTGTGTGTGTGTGTGTGTATATATATACACACACACATATATATGTGCCTGGCACGTAGTAGGTACTCAAGTGACAATTATCAGGAGGAAGGGAGGGTAGAGTAATTGCAATGGCCTTCCTGGCTTCACTCCCCATCTGACTCTGTCTTTCCTTGCAGACACTCACCCACGGCACTGCAGTTTGCACTCGCACTTATGAGAAAGAGGCATGACCTGACTGCACTGTTGCTGACTCCTACTCTGCCAATCGGCTACCCCTCGACTCAGCACCACATTGCCTCATTTCTTCCTCTGCATTTTGTACAAATCCACAAATTCTTCTAGGGTCAGGTGCCACTGGCCTGGATCCACTTCTAGTTTCCATTGTGTATGTGGTTTTTTTGTTAACGGCATTCATAGGGTGCTCTGAGGTCAATAAAGCAGAGCCAAGGCCACCCAGTTGCCTTTTTGCCTTTGGTAACATAACTCTGGGAGTCTTGGTTTCCCCTGTTTGTCAAAGAGTGGGCAGAAATAACTGCCTGAAGGTTACTCAGAAAGAAGCACTGGATGGGAGACTGAAATGGACAGTCTCAGAGACTGATGATCAGCTGATCACCGTACACATTTAATAAAACAGCTGTACCTACACCTTGCCTTTACACTGCCCCACTCCATGGTCAAATTTCCTAGTTCAGTCAGTGGTGGGGCTTCCCCAGGTTTGGCTGTTGAACTGTCACTTCACGCCCATCCTACACTGAGAACTCTTGGGCCTGGCTGTTCTGTGAAATGCTATAGGTCTCCCTTTCCAGAATTCAGGTTCAGGGCACAGAACCCAGGCTTGTACCACGGTGGTGGGAGAAAATGACCACTGGCCAAGATGATTGCTGATCTATGCACCAGGCTAGTTACTCATGGTTACAAATTCTTACTACTTCTCTAATCAACTCTGAGGGAAGAGGGCATCTGATCATCACAAAAGGGAGGGCTTATAAGTGATCTCCCAAGAAGGCTGCGACCAGCTAGAGCCTTTGGCTCTGTACCTCTGCTGGGCATCTCTCCAAAGTCTAAGGTATATTAAATGCTTTTGTGAGCTAGTGCAGGCTCAGTGACTTTAAGTTTGTAAGTTGCCCAGGAAGAAGGATTACAGGAAAAAGAACTTTTAGTAAGTTTAAAACCAAACACATTTCCATTTAGCAACAGGAATTTAAGCAGGGACCTGAAGTGGAATCAACTGATTCACAGAGTAATAAATACAAAGAACAATGATCTTGGCTTCAGCTGTCTGGTTCAGTGGTCTGCTGGAATGCAATACACAAGAGACACTGCAGATTATTTTCTAGCTGTGGTGACCACTGGATGTCACTTCTAGCATAGTAGAACCATATTAGGAGGAATGGGAAAAGTCAGCACCACTTCTCACCATGTTCTGCCTCTTGCTGCCAGTCTCTCTGCTCCCATGTTGGATGCAGCAGAGATCACCCACCAACTGGCCCAGAACAGACCAAATGGAAGGGTCCAACCACTCTTCTCCAACTACAGCCAGACTCATCTCCACAACAGTCTCTGGCTCTAGCCTGGATTCTTACAGGAATCCAGCTCCGGCAGTGGCAGCTGGAGAGGATAATGGAACCTCCTGCTGAATGAAGGAAGTTGGGTGAATGAATGGGTGAGCTGCAGGGTTCACTTGCAAAGGGGCCAGGAGTGATAAGGAAACAACAACTCATTCAGGCAGCTGCTTCTGACCTCTAACTCCCAAACCTGCCTGTTGCATGAGGGGAAGCCATTTCCATGGAAGCAAAGTTAATGGGGTGGGAGGCTATATTCTCACTATTGAGTGTTTCCAGGAGCCTAAAGGCACGAGGCTCCTGGTTCCTTACTCTCAACCACCCCACACTCTTTCTACTCTCACTCCTTGTGTTTCTTCTTGTGCTTCTTCTTCTTTTTCTTCTTCTTTGCTGCCTTGCTGTCTTTTGATGTGTGCCTTGCCCTCTTGCCTGTATCACTCTCAGAGTCTGAGCTGTCAGAATCGGATGACTTCCTGTCTCTATGTTTCTTTTTCTTCTTCTCCTGAAAAGAAAATATTAAAAATCAACATTGTAAGTAAATATTTGCTTTAAACAATCATAGCACATAACTGGCCAGGTGCAGTGGCTCACATCTGTAATCCTAGCACTTTGGGAGGCCAAGGTGGGAGGAATGCTTGAAGCCAGGAGTTCAAGACCAACCTGGCTAACATAGCGAGACTGCATCTCTAAAAAGAAAAAAAAAGAAAAATTATAGCACATAATCAACAGGGGACCACTTAGTAATTTTTTTTTTTTTTTTTTTTTTTTAGACAGTCTCACTCTGTTGCCCAGGCTGGAGTGCAGTACAGTGGCAATAATCACAGCTCACTGCAACCTCAACCTCTTGGTCTCAAGCAATCCTCAGCCTCCCAAGTAGCTGGGACCACAGGTATGCACCACCACACCCTGCTAATTTTTGTGGAGATGGGGTTTCTCCATGTTGCCCAGGCTGGCCTTGAACTCCTAAGCTCAAGCAATCTGCCCACCTTAGCTTCCCAAGGTGCTAGAATTAAAGGTGTGAGATACCCAGCCACCACTTAATAAAGTATGAGGCATTAAAAACAATAAGGTAAATCTTTAAGTACCAACAATCGAAAAATAGCTAAAACATGTTAAGTAAAAGAACCAAGACATAATGAATGCAGTATGTATTGTAGATTCTAGTGCATATAACATATACATGTGTATTTATATATATATGCAAATGACAAAGTGTATATATTACACATACTTGTGTATATTTAGTATACACAGAGAAAACTGAAAAGGAGACATCAAACTGGTAATAAGTGTTACACACTGGGAATGAAATGAATGGGGGTAAGGATATGGGTCTTTCACTTTTTCCTTTATATACTTCTGTCCAATTTGATTTTTTTAAAAAACAAGTATCTGTTACTTTCATTTTTAAAAGTGCAGGATATTAAAGCTGAAAGGGGTCCTTAAAGATTAGCCAATCTATCTAGAAACAGTGACTCACATATCCAAGGTCAAAGAATAAAAGATTTAAAACTCCTGACTCCCATTCTGTTTGTTATTAGATCCTGCTGCCAGGGGAAATGACTGCATCAAATAATAAGCCTGTACTTGCTACCCTTGAATATTTATCATCTCTAATTTTACAGGCACCTCACAAGATTATACTCATAAAGAAAAGAGCTGAGAATGAACTATCCCAAAACTATATGCACCACACCATGCTACCAAAGTAATAGTACAAACCCATACAAAGGATGAGAGGTAGATTTCCAAGTGTCTAATGGGGCAGTATGGGCAGATTTTAAGCACGGCATAAATCTCTTCTTTGAATTTCAAATATCTATATTGCTTCCATAAGGTTTCTAAGAAGAGGGAGAAAGTATGGGAGGAGAAAGAGCAGAAAAGGACGCCAGCTTCCAACCAGCACCCTGAGAGCTATAAATCTAGCTGAATGATTATCAGGTCTTAGGAGCTGGCTGTGAGAAATGGTGGAAAGAACAATGAAGCAGATATTAGATAGACTTGGACCTGAGTTCTGGCTCTGCCATTTACTATTCTGTATCCGTGGGCAAGTCATCTGACCTCACTGATGACTGGTCCATTAAAATGTAAAATGGAGGCCGGGCGCGGTGGCTCAAGCCTGTAATCCCAGCACTTTGGGAGGCCGAGGTGGGTGGATCACGAGGTCGAGAGATCGAGACCATCCTGGTCAACCTGGTGAAACCCTGTCTCTACTAAAAATACAAAAAATTAGCTGGGCATGGTGGCGTGTGCCTGTAATCCCAGCTACTCAGGAGGCTGAGGCAGGAGAATTGCCTGAACCCAGGAGGCGGAGGTTGCGGTGAGCCGAGATCGCGCCATTGCACTCCAGCCTGGGTAACAAGAGCGAAACTCCGTCTCAAAAAAAAAAAAAAAAAAAAAATGTAAAATGGAGGTAAGAATAACATCTACATCCTTTACAAAAAATAAAAATAGCTAGGTGTGGTGGTGCCAACACCTGTAGTCCCAGCTACTCAGGAGGCTGAGGTAGGCCACGGATCGCTTGAGCCAGGGAGCTGGAATTGCAGGGAGCCATAATCCTGCCACTGCACTCCAGCCTGGGCAACTAAGTAAGACCCTGTCTCAAAAAACAAACAAACAAAAAAAAAACCCAAAACCCACCTGTGTCATATAGCTATGGTGACGAGTTAATGAGATAGTATCTAAGGCTTAGATGAGTTGAAAGCCATTTGTCCCAGATCACATAGGCACAGCTGGGATCTTCACATAGATCACATGAATGGAAATTTCCTAAGTTTTCCTATGGAGCACATGGCCCTTCTTTCTGTATAGTGACAGGAGGCCTCATGGTATGGTCATTAGAACAACAAATTTTGGAATAAGAGTTAAGTTCACATTCCAACTTTGCCACTTAAGTCACTATGTGACTTAGAACAACGATTTAACTTTTTCAAATCTCAGTTTTCTTTTCAGTAAATAGGAACTAATAAGCACCTATTTCAAAGGATACTATGAGCTTTAAACAAGATAAGCACTAACTATAGTGCCTGACATATTATAGGTACTTAGAGGGAGCTACATGTATTTTTCTCTCATTAACTCCCAGGATGTTCTGACAGCCTGGCCAAGTATCTACAGTCAAAATTTTAAGAGGAGATGAAACAACAGTTCTTTCTTGGCATCACAAAAGAGTAGAGAGAAGCGAACAAAGCTTCTCAGACCCATGTTACCAAGCTATAACAACCATGGCTGGGAGGAGCTGAGAATTGGCAAATCAATAGTTTAGCTACGTTGCTGTACCTTCCTGGATGGCAAGACCATGGAAGTCCATCACAGGGAATTATGAGGTCAGAAGTCTCACTGGCTTCTCCCAGGGGAATATCCTGGGAAGGTAAAAATGAAAACGTAGAGTCTGGCACCAGTTCCCTGCAAGCCTGGTCCAGTATGGATAAATAAGTAAGGAGAGTAATAATACTGCCTTACACCTAAACAGTGCCTTTTGCATTCTTATCTTACAATAATAATCTGTAGGGTCAGAATTCATGAGTTATTTTTCCCATTTGCAGATGGAAAAACTGTAACTCAGAAATGTAAAGTGAGTTGACCAAGGCTAAAGCAGCAAAACCACTGTACTTTCCAACACGGAGTTTGGCACACTGCTCTCTCTCAAAGATGCAGGCTCAGAAGGAGGGAAGATAAAAACAAATCACTAGAAAGCCCTGGCATGCTCGAACATGGACTCTAGCTAGCAAGAAGGGATCAAGGAGATGGCCTTCTCTTAGACCTCAACTTTGATGCAAAAGCTGTTTTGCAGCCTGAACAAAGAATTCAATCTTCCAGCAGATGGTGTCATTTTCCCTGTGTGTCTAGCCTTAAGCTACAGAACAAAAGAACAATGACTTCAGAAGTTGTAGTTCAAAAGCAAAGGTGGGAGTTGTGGTGGGGGAAGACTGAGAGCCAGAAAGTGAACCAAACTTCTGCTCTCAACTGCATTCAAGTGAGAAGGGAAACAGAAGATAACAGTTTAAAAAAATGATGTGGATTCAAGTATCATTTGGAAATAGAAAATTAAAAATAATAATTTTTTTTTTTTTTGAGACAGAGTCTGGCTCTGTTGCCCAGGGTGGAGTGCAGTGACGCAAACTTGGCTCACTGCAACCTCCACGTCCCAGGTTCAAGCAATTCTCTTGCTTCAGCCTCCTGAGTAGCTGGGTTTGCAGGTGCCCACCACCACACCCGACTAATTTTTGTACTTTTAGTAGAGATGGGTTTCGCCATCTTGGCCAGTCTGGTCTTGAACTCCTTAACTCATGATCCACCTGCCTTGGCCTCCGAAAGTGCTGAGGTTACAGGTGTGAGCCACTGTGCTGGCCAGAAAATTAAAAATAAAAAAAAAAATTTTAGCCGGGCACGGTGGCTTAAGCCTGTAATCCCAGCACTTTGGGAGGCTGAGGCGGGTGGATCACGAGGTCAAAAGATCGAGACCATCCTGGTCAATATGGTGAAACCCCGTCTCTACTAAAAATACAAAAAAAATTAGCTGGGCATGGTGGCGCGTGCCTGTAATCCCAGCTACTCAGGAGGTTGAGGCAGGAGAATTGCCTGAAACCGGGAGGCGGAGGTTGCGGTGAGCCGAGATCGCGCCATTGTACTCCAGCCTGGGTAACAAGAGCGAAACTCCATCTCAAAAAAAAAAAAAAAAAATTTTTAATGACATACGGG